ACTGTGCACATCGGCTGTGGATCTCCCACACGTAAAAGGGAAGGAGGAAGAGTTCTCAATAAGGGAAACTGATAAATACACAAGAAAAAACAGAACAATCACATTAGCTGCAATCACTTTTCAGTTATGTGAGACAGACCAGATTTCAAGTCACCTCTGGAGAACATTTTTAACCTTCCCGTTGGGCAGCAGCAGAGTCCTTTGCCTAATGAACAGCAATGCAGCAGGATGAAATCTCATTTAGCAGACAATGAGGCAAGGCATCTTTGGGAGTTGTGTAGAACTTGTGCAGCAAAACATACATACGTCTAAGAGCTGTTACCCTAAGTAGCATATGCTAAAACAATGGTCAAAAACCTTATTGCCATAGCAATTATCTAACTATTACCTCAGGAAAATAGCTTGTATTCTTTGAAACAAAAAGTAAAACTCGCCTAAGGCTTTTCATGAGCCCGAGTATAATTCCCCAGTAGTTAGAGAAACTACCTCACCTGTCCCTTTTGATTTCAGGACCATTCATGTGTGAGTGTTACACTAAGGCAGCTGAATAACTGAGATTTTAAACACAGGAGTAAGAAAATCCAGTTGTGATTCCTACAACACCACCAAAGCCACCTTGATCACAGAGCCAAAATATAAATACAGAACTCAACAAAAGACACAGTAGTCACTGTGGGACTTTCAGTTCTGACATTGCTGACCCCCAGAAATCTAAAGTTGTCTCTTGCCACTAGCAGCAGGTCAGATCCTCTGTGCCTAAAAGCCTAAACCTCGCAGGAAACCTTACTTTCCAACCCTGACCCATTTCACTTTCTCAGCATCACAAAATTTCTCTGCAAGTCAGTAACCCTTTACTGCCAGCCACTACACCTGCCACAAAAGGATTACGCTGTGCCCTACTGCACAAGTTACTCCCAGAAGAGCCCACAAGGAGGGTATCCATACAGGGATCTCGAGGTTTTTATGACCTGCTCCTAGCCATGAAGAAGTCCACACACACTCTTCCCTTCACAAGTTCTCCTTGAGTTTAGGCGAATATTACCAACAAATGCCTTTTTCTATATACCTCCATACCACTGCCACTTACCTTTATCAGCCTATCCATCCAACTGAATTTAAGCCTACTTAACCAAGCAGCACTGATAATTCTCTTGATCATAGAATCCTTTAGGTTGGAATGGACCTCCAAGATCATCAGGTCCAACCATTGATCCTCAACACAGGCTGGACATGAGCACAGAACACAGACTGTGCCTTCCTAGACGCTAGTATACTGAGGCTTAAGCTACAACATACCACATATCACTTAACAGCCCTAAAACCCTTCCTTTCAGCTGCCTTCCGGACTAAAGTCCACAACAAGAGTGCAACGTGGAAAGGCCAAACTCCACACACTCTTTTCCCTCTCAGAAGCAAAGGCAAGGAGCACAAAGCGCTGCGCCTGACTGCGCGGCATGAAGAGACAACACTCACATGTCTTCACGTCCATGAGACAGTCCTCATCAATGGACTACACTACCTTTCCAAGGACCCTGCTTCCCACCAGCTTAAAATCCTCAACTGCCAGGCCTAATCAGAGCAGCTGGAGTGCTTTGTGGGTTTGTGTTTTGGTTGGTGGTTTTTGTCTTTTCCTACTGCAGTTATCACAGAAAGGTTACTGGGCAAAACTAGCACAGCAAATAAGTGTGGTTCAATACCTTGCCTCTGATGAAGGCACATACAAGGCAGCTTAGAAGATGGAGCAAGAAGCCTCGGTGGACAATTATGGAACAAACTGCCCTTTCTTCAAACTTTTACCTGGTAAGAGATCGGGCTATGCCTGAAAAATACACCTTTTAAAATTAGTTCTTTAGCTACAGCAAGTCTGAACATTTCCACTCAAAAGTGCTTGATCTTTTCTGAATCCTGCTCAGCTCAGCCTCAGTGCTATTATGTGGTAGTGAATTTCCACAGATTAGACATCATGTGAAAATACTTTAAAATCATTATTCAGTTTGATGCCTATCAGTTTCACCGAATTGCATTCACCTCAACTGAAGAATACATTCCAGCTCCTTCAGCTCTGCACAGCAGTCTTCCTCAAACTTGGCATCCAACACTGCCGAAAAGCAGAGGAAAACTGAGCCCACCCAAGCGATGCTTATCCTGCATTCCAACTGTTGCAATGCTATTCTCACACTCCTACATGGCCTTCCACGCCATTTCCTTCCTAAGCACGGCTCCCAGGAGGATGCTCCAGAGAGCATGTCATTCCAAGTATGAGACAGCCTGCAAGCTGCTGCTCTTGGCTCAGTGTATCAGCAATAAGACCATACATGAACATCCTGACAAAGAAGAGAACGATTTCCAAGTCTGAAGCAAACAAGAGAACAAAAAAATATAAAAGATTAGGTTAAAAGATTCAGCCAGATAAGTCATTATGAGCCGTGGACCCAAGCTAACACCTCCTGGGAAGGGAAAAAGAGGGGGTCTCAGGGTGCCCTCCTGCCTTAAACAAGGCAGGGCCTGACTGGCACTCTACAAAAATTTCATCATGCTGCAGAACACACAGGACAGTGGATCACACAGGGGTTTGCTTCATTTTGAAGTCATGGCTTGGAATATCCTTTTCACCTCTCCTCCACCAAACTTTACTAAAGGACTCAACACCACAGTAGCCAAGCATCTTATAGACACTTATGGAATCTTCCTCAAATCCCCAATAAGATAGGTGTTAATTGTATTTTTTTAAACCAAATAATGTAGAGCAAAAAGCAGCAACAATCTGATCACATTCACACAATGAATCTGTGGCAGAAATTAGGTATCCTGCATTGCAGTTCACAGTTCTCACTGCAGGGTCATCCTTTGCCTCCAACCAGCTGCAAAGGCACTTCAATTTTAAAAAGTAACATTCTCCCTACTACAGTTACAGATGCAGCAAATCTAGATCCAAGGAAAAGCCCTCAGGTAGGGGAACTGGCAGGGAAACAGGTCAGACAATTTCATGCCCTAAGGCATTAGCTGTGTTTGCAGAGATTATGTGCATAGTTCCTTCAAAGTCCTGGGTAAAATGAATTTCAGAGATCATATTTATCCAGTTACTAACTTCAAATACACCCAGCTAGCACAAATGCGACAAGTACTCTCTCTCTCTGTAGCTCAAGGTGTCATCAGGACCTTAAATTTACTCTCCAATCATCAATCACGCTGAACAGCCAAGAAAATTGCTCTGTTATGACAGTTTCAGTTCCTGACAACCCCAGTCAGAAGATCAGAGTCAAAAAGGACTTTCTTAGTGGAGAAATCCTGCTCTCAATCTGCATCCCATGCAGACTCGTTTAAGACCCCTATATGCTGTATTTCTCCCAGCAACACGAAAGGCAGAGGGTTATTTGCCATCACTACATTATTCTTGTCACACTGTGCTGTAAAAACTAGGCCTGTGCTAACAAGCCTACAACACTGTGAATTTGTTATGATCTGACCACCAGAACTATTTCTTGGGACTATGCTGTAGCTGTGCTGACACGTGGAAACCTCACAGAGTCCAGTATTCTCAACAGATCCTCCATAAAACATAGCAGACATTTTAAAAGGTTAAGGAGCTCACTTTCAGGAAGAATCATCAGCCTCCAGGACTCAAAAGAATCAAGTCTACTTCAAACAACTACTGAAAACCACAGTTGCATTTTACTGAAACTTGTTTGTTTTGCTATTGTTCAAACAGCTTGGCTTGCTTCACCTTTCTAAAAGCACTTCACATGCACACACCAGCTGCCAAAAATCCTTTCTCCAAGCCAGTTCTGTTACCATTCACACCAGCATGCTGACCAAAAATCAGTTGTCCCATCTGACTTCATGTCCTGCCCTGGGACAAAAAGGAGGCAGATCTGCAAAGGTCTATACCTCTCTGAAAGGTATAGTCTGTTTCCCCTACATACTATGCCACATGACTGTCCTTAGGGTAGATACCAGAGGTAAGGACTCAGGGTCTGAAAGCTGCAAAGCAAGTGACTAAGCAGCAGCCAACAAACAACTTGAAACAGACTGGAAAAGAATGCAAGGTCATCTCTGGTTCAGAAAGCTGGTTTGAGGAGGCAACAGGTCTTGGCACGTAACTCATTTCCCTCCTGACCCGATGCCTTGTTAATATTACAGATGAAGATAGGCACGGGCTGCACTTTGGAACTCAGCTGGCCCTGATGAAATGCATTCCCCTGACTTCAAGAGCAGTGGGTGCCTGGGCAGGAATGAAAAGGCAAAAGCTCCTGATAGGACAGCTAAGAACTGCTAGTTAAATGCTGATTTAACAACCAGAAGCTGAAACACCCTGTACACAAAGCACTGTTGGGATACATACGCTTCCCTCCAGCAATTCACTAAGTGAAGAGAAAGGAGTTGTATTAAAAGTACTTTAGCAAGTAACTGAAAGGTACGATCAGAGGACCAGCTGGTGGGTGCCAAACCACTGCCCCTCTAAATTGGACCTCAGCAGTGAGTTCAGGAGAGGGCACAAAAGCCAGCAGCACACCTGCACCACACCATCAGAGGACCAGTTAAAACACAGGTGGAAAGAACAACATTGTGGAAGAAATAACAGAACAGAACATAGGCTCACTAACTTTTTGCAACACACTTATTGCAAAAGCAGGATCATCCAAAAGGATCTTGTTGGGATTCTGGATGGGCAGACCTCCTGTGATTAGAGAATACAGCTACTTCAGCACTGACAGGACAGACCTTAGAATGCTTCTCTCGATGGCATGTAAAGAGCACTTGCTTACATCTTTAACTAGTCTTTTCTTCCCAGGAGCTCTTACTGAATCTCTCAGGATCACTCCTGTCTCATTGACAACCCTGGCCTCCCAATTCAGGCAACACAGGCCTCCTGTGACACACAGGACACCACAGAAAGAGACAGTTTTTCAGTCATGTGGTTCATATATTCTCAAACAGTTCAAGTAGCAGGACCAAAAGAATAGTGTGACTCAGCATCAGCTCATTTCTGGCTTTCTTACCTGCTGTCTGATGCTTCAACAAGGATTCATGGCTTCCTCTTATGTAGGCCCTTTATCCCAGTTCCTTCTCTGAATCTGTAAAACAGAGATGCGTACCTCTGAAAAGCTTCTGCTGGCACAGAAGTATCTATATTTGATGGATGAGTCTTTCAGCAGACAATGTCCACCTGGCATCGCTCAGATCCAGGTCATTCTCAGCCTTGCCAGACTTGCATATCGTTTGCACACACTGATACCTACCAATGCAATCTCCTGCCCATCTAAAAATCCCTTTATTAGCACTCTCTTTCACTCTTCTCCATGCAGTGTGCTCAAGCCCAGAGACAGATGTAGGTCTGTATTTATTGTTCACCAGTTTTTCTTTAAAGCCTTCCCATGTTCTGAGTGGCTGTTCACTAATTCTATAGAAGGAAGCATCCCTGGCACTAGAGAGGGCATCCACACTGGTGGAGAATTTCCCACTCCCCACATGCCTGGTCTGGCATCAGGGGAGTGCTCCTCCCTCCCAACTCTGCCTCTGTCGGCTCTACTACGGTTTTTTAACACACACATGCTGGCCCAGACTTGTTCCATTTCGCAGCTCCTACTCCAGCAACGCTCCCTGCACAGATCCTGCCTTCTCATCCCCCACACCACCTATCCCTCCATCACTCAGACAAGGCTGCACCCCACCTGGACCTCGTTCAGCCTTGCGGCTTCTGTGTCTGCTCTGCACTCTGCTACAGGTCTCCCCCCGGGGAGGGAGAGCTTCCTATTGCCCTGATAACCGAGGCGGCGGCACTACCGCTCTCCCCCCGAGACAGCTGCTTTCTCGGGCCCGCACCCGGCTCCCACCTGC